CCAGCTGAGGCAGAAGGATCGCTTGAGCCCAGCAGGTCGAGGCTACAGTGGCTGTGAGCATGCCACTGCACTCCAGCCTGGGTGACAGAGTGAAACTCCAACTCAAAAAAAAACTCCTTTTCATCCTACAATACCCAAATCCTGAATGACCTTCCTTGGATCCTCCATTGGCCCCCAACTTACCCCTGGGTGACCACCTCGCCAGCCTCCTCCTCCTCCTCCTCCTCCTCTTCCTCCTCCTCCTCAGAAGTTGGTTCATGACAGGAAATGGCCCATCCTCCCAGGGACTTGAACCTGACAGCTCTACTTCTCACTCCTGCCAGCTGTCCAGCCAGCTCATCCTCCAGAATTGCCCATTCCCTCACCTGGTTACTGCAACAAATTCCTGACTGTCTCCCTGTCCAGTAAGCCCCACCCAGTGGCGAGGACCATGTCAAACAAGTTCAAACAAATAAGCTGAAAAGAAAAAGTAGGGGGGACTTCTAGATTAAGGGACTTAGGGACCTCAACCTCAACCACACACTGTGTGGACTTCTAAAAATTCTGACTTGAAAACTCTAAAAAAAATACTTAGGGGCCAACCGAAGGAATCTGACCACTAGCTGGATATTCCATGAGGTAGAGAAATTCCTGTTAACTTTTTCAGGGTGAGAATGGAATTGTGACTCCTTGTTTTAAGTCCTTATCTTTTAGCACTACACAATGAATTGTTCAAGTCTGGGACCGGCATCACCATCATGCAAGGAGAGCTGGTGGGAGCAGGTAGACCTACAAGTGGGAGGCTAAGGGCCAGCTGAAGATGGACACAAGTGGGCTTATCACACACACTCTCTCTACTTTCATGTGTCTGAAATTTCCATTCAACAACAGAACAAATCAAACAAACAAACAAAAAAGCTGACTGCTAGGTCAAAGTAGTTAAAAAAAAAAGGCCAGATGTGGTGGCTTATGCCTGTAATCCCAGCACTTTGAGAGGTTGAAGTGGGAGGATTACTTGAGCCTAGGAGTTTGAGACCAGCCTGGACAACACACCAAGACCTCATCTCTATAAAAATAAAAATAAAAAAAATTAGCCAAGCATGGTAGCACAGGACTGTAGTCCCAGCTACTTGGGAGGCTGAGGTGGGAGAATTGCCTGAGCCCAGGAGGTCAAGGCCGCATTGAGCCATGATCGTGCACCTGCACTCCAGTCCATGTAAGAGAGTGAGACACTGATTCAAAAAAAAAAAGACAAAAGAAAGGCCAGACCCTGTCCCTCCATCAGAGGGTTCCATTTAGGAGCAGATGCCCAAGTTCTCTTGTGGTGCCAGACCCCACAGGACAGTTCTGTTCCCCATCTCCACTCCTGGCCTGTCTGACCACATCCCCTGCTTCACCACCTGCTTATGCTGTCCCAGCAATGCTGGATTTAGATATCCTCAAGCGCTTGCCCCACCTCACGGCCTTTGTACCACATGTGCCCGAGGACTGGAACATGCACCCAGATCCCCACACAGCTCCCTCCACTCACACCTTGTTGGTGCATCCACCTGCAGCCCTTTCTCCCCTCACCCTACTCAAGCAACATCAGACACACACTAGTGAGCCACCTTTTGGTTTCCCCCACCAGAATATATGATCCTCTCACTCAGGGAGGGACTCAGCCTAGGAAGAAATCATGTGACACTTTTTGAGAAATTAAAAGCAACCATCTAGTTGGGTCAGAAAGGAATTACTGACTCTATATGAGGTCTGGTGAGAGCAGGGCCTTAGTGTCTGTAGGTCTAGCCTAGAGTTGGCTGTGATGGTTCTACTCACCCTCATTGTTCTTGGCAAAGTTCAGCTTGATCAGGGACCTCCCATCCAGTTTCTAGAAGAAGCACAATTAATAATTAATAATAGGCTGGGTGCAGTGGCTCAAGCCTGTAATCTCAGTACTTTGGGAGGCCAACGCGAGAGAATTGCCTGAGCCCACAGGTTCAAGACCAGCCTGGGCAAGTTGGTAAGACCTCATCTCTATAAGAAATCAAAAATTAGCTGGGCATGGTGGTGCACACCTGTAGTTCCAGCTACTAAGAAGGCTGAAGTGAGGCTGGGCATGGTGGCTCACACCTATAATCCCAGCACTTTGGGAGGCCATGGGTTTGAGACCTGGGCAACTTGGTGAGACCTCATCTCTAGAATAAACCAAAAAATTAGCCAGGAGTGGTGGCACGTGCCTGTAGTTCTAGCTCCTTGGAAAGCTGAGGCGGAAGGATCACCTGAGCCCAGCAGGTCAAGGCTGTGGGAGCATGCCACCAGCCTGGGTGACATAGGGAGACTTCTACTCAAAAAAAAAAAAAAAAAAAAAGAATGCTGAAGTGGAAGAACTGCCTGAGCCCAGCATGTCAAGGCTGCAGTAGCCATGAGCATGCCACTGCACTCCAGCCTGGACAACAGAGTGAGACTCCAGCTCAAATAATAATAATTGTAATCAATAAGTGACTGATGTGAAGAGAAGCTGGGGTGAAACAGAAAAGATTGAAAAGGTCTCCAACCAGCCAACCCTGTGCAGCTGCGGACAAGAGGCAAGGCTGAGAGGGCTACCCATGAGGCCCCAGAATACCTCAATGATCTTGTAGGGGTGTGCAGGACAGCACACACAGATGGGTGTGTTCATGTAACCACCACCCACCCCAAGACTGAAAAGAACTGTCATAAGGGTGACCTACAAGCAAGAGGACCAGACCACAGGGCAGAGATTTATTTTATACTTTTGCAATCTTTGAACATTTTTATGGTAAGCACAGGTTATTTGTGAAATTATAATATGAATGTATTTCTTCAGCTAGTGAGTGGCACACAGGTATTCACCTTATTATTCTATCATATAAAATTTTTTTTAAAAAAGACAATGAAAGTGGAGGAGAAAGGAAAAAATACACCTAAACAGTGGCTGTGATGGGAAGATGGGAGCCCCTATTTTTCAATTTTGCTTTTTTTTTTGAGTCGGGGTCTTACTCTGGCTCAGGCTGGAGTACAATGGCAGGATCATGGTTCACTGTAGCCTCAACTTCCTGGGCTCAATTGATCCTCCTGCCTCAATGTCCTGATTAGCTGGGACTACAGGTGCACACCACCAAGCCTGGCTAATTTTTTTATTTTTTGTAGAGACAAGGTCTCACTATGTTGCCTTAGGCTGATATTGAACTCCTGGGCTCAAGCAATCCTAATGCCTCAGCCTCCCAAAGTGCTGGGATTATAAGTGTGAGCCACCACGCCCGGCTGAAACCCCTATTTTTCTTTTTTTTGTTTTGTTTTGTTTTGAGTTGGAGTCTCACTGTCACCCAGACTGGAGTGCAGTGGCCACTCCCGGCCACCACAGCCTTGACCTGCTGGGCTCCGGCGATCCTTCCGCCTCAGCCTTCCAAGTAGCTGGAACTTCAGGTGCACGCCTGGCTAATTTTTTTGATTTAGAGATGAGGTCTCGAACCCGTGGGCTCAGGCAATCCACTCACCTCAGCCTCCCAAAGCCACGGGATTACAGGCCAAGCCACTGAGCCCGGCTGAAACCCTATTTCTCAAACTGTCTGTAATGTGTCTGCAGTTCATCTTTCCTATGGGAAACTTTACAATAAAACCAAGTCTTGGGACCCAGCAGAGACAACTGCCAGATGGGAGGGGGGCTGTGGAGAAACCCTGGAGAAGGGCAGAGCTGCCCCCGCTGAGGAGTACCTAACTCAAGACCACATTCTGGCGGCCACTGCTACCCCGGAACCCAAGGGAGATGCTGCAGGGCCTCCAGAGGCTGCACCCTCAGCCAGCAGCAGGTCCTCATGCTACCCTCCTCCACCTTCCATAGGCTCCTGGCCAGCCTCATTGACCACATCTGCTCTTCCACTGCTGGCTGCATTCCTTTCCTTGTGGTTCAACTACTCCCTACCCCTTCACTGCAGTACAGGTGAGGATTAGACTACCAGAGAGCCAGCAGGGTCCCAGCCAAGGCACATGATGACCCCCACACAGAATATGCTCCTCCTGGCCCCAAAAAGCAACATATACATGGATATATGCGTGCACATGCAGAGAAAATTTCCAGAAAGGAATGGGTGTGAGAGGGGAGGGAAAGACTGTCCTCCTCACTGCACCCCAAGAATGTTCTCTACCACGCTCCTGTGTATGTGAAAACCACTGCAATGAAGAAGAGGTAAGAGGACAGCTCACCAGCATCACTTAAACCCCAGTACAGGCACCTACCTCTCCACTGCTGGGGTTGGTCCCGTACTTCTTAAGCCATGGAACAATGTTCCTGAAGAGAAAAGACAACAGAAAGCATCACCAGAGCAGTTAGGTACTGCTTGGTAACAAGGCCATACTCCTGGAGGGCTGTCTCTGGGTCAGTGGCCTGTGAACAGGTTTCGAGAAAAGCGAAGAAAAGGTCGAGCGCCATGGCTCATGCCTGTAATCCCAGCATTTTGGGAGGCCAAGGCAGGAGGACTGCTTGAGCCCAGCCTGGGCAACATAGCAACACCCCATCTCTACAAAAAAATTAAAAAATTAGCTAGGCATGGTGGCGTGCACCTGGAATCCCAACTACTTGGGAGGCTAAGGCAGAAAGCTCACCTGAACTTAGGAGGTCAAGGGTGCGGTGAGCCATGATCATGCCACTGCACTCCAACTTGGACAATAGAGTGAGACCTTAACTCAAAAAGATTAAAAATAAATAATAATTTTTTTAAAAGGGGAAGATTTGTGAGCACATGGGTTTCAAAATGCGTTCAAGATTATTACTGCAGTTATATATGAACAATTAAAACTATAACTAGGTAAAAATGTATAAATAAGCTGGGCTCGGTGGCTCAACCTGTAATCCCGCGCTTTGGGGGACTGAGGGGAGTTGATTGCCTGAGTCCGTGGGTTTGAGACCTGCCTGGGCAACTTGGCGAGACCTCATCTCTACAATAAATAAAAAAATTAGCCGGGCGTGGTAGCGCGCGCCTGTAGTTCCAGCTACTTGGAAGGCTGAGGTGGAAGGATCACCAGAGCCCAGCAGGTTGAGGCTGCGGTGGCCGGGAGCGCGCCACTGCACTCCAGTCTGGGTGACAGAGTGAGACTCCAACTCAAAAAAAAAAAAAGGTATAAATAAACGTTGAAGCCGGGCTCAGTGGCTCAGCCTGTAATCCTGCGCCTTTGGGAGGCTGAGGTAAGTGGATTGCCTGAGCCCGCGGGTTCGAGACCCGCCTGGGCAGCGAGACCTCATCTCTACAATAAATAAAAAAAAAATCAGCCGGGCGTGGTAGCGCTTGCCTGTAATTCCGGCTACATGGAAGGCTGAGGCGGAAGGATTGCCGGAGCCCAGCAGGTCGAGGCTGCGGTGGCCTGGAGCGGCCACTGCACTCCAGTCTGGGCGACTGAGTGAGACTCCAACTCAAAAAATAAATAAATAAATAAATAAACGTTGATATGACTATACAATGAAATACTGGGCCAGCAACAAAAATTATCATTTCAACCAGACACAGTGTTGTGCGCCTATAGTCCAAACTACTCAAGAAGATGATGCAGGAAGATCGCTTGAGCACAGGCGTTCCAGACCATCCTGGGCAACAGAGTGTGACTCTGTACCCCTCCCCAAAAAAATGAAAAGAAAGAAAAAGAAAAATTATAATTTCAGAGAATTCTGGATCATATGGGGAAAAAAGGTATCTGAATAACTGAGTGAAAAATGGACTTCACAGTGCTATTGTAATCATGCTACTATAAACTTACAGAAAAAATAAGTATAAATCTTAGTAAGTATAACTGGTTATCCTGGACAGTGGGATTATGGTAAAAGCTTCCTTTTCTAAAATAAATCTGAAATATCCAAAAAATTAATTTTCATATTTTCTAAAATGAGGCTGAAACATTGAAAAAAATGACAGAAGCTGCCTTAGGTTATGTATGATGCTTCAAAACACAGCACTAGTAAGGTATGCATCTTAATTATGGCTCTTTGATGAAGTGGAAAATATTCAGTGTATTAACATTCCAAAACAAGTACCATTGTGCCAACAGAACACTAAGACCCCCAAATAAGGGTGTGGGGGGTGGTATACCCCATTCCAGACAGTAACAGCAGTACCTACTACCCAAAGCCACCAGCCTAGGGGTCACAGCAGCACTAGAGGTCCACCCAAGGCTGCTGGGACCAGAGGTCTGGTGACCTTGGTGTTACCTGGCTTGGTGCTGCCTAGAGTCAGAAACGCCAGAGTTGGCCTGATATCCCCTTCTATAGTAGGTGTCGACAGTCTCACCACATTTGTTAGATCAAAATCCAAGGAAACTCACAGCAAGTCAAAGACAACGCCTTCAGGAGTGCAGACCGGGTAGACAAAGGGCTGCAAAGAGAGACTGAAAAAGGACAGAGTCAATCCTGGTCAGCTCCCAGGTACATTGGTCAGGCTGTGAGCTGGCTGGGCCTGGCATGGTAACCTCCCAGGATGCTGCTCAGGGAACCTTCCTCTGGGCAGCCTGGCACTTCCCTCTCTCACCCGCCTTCTCCCAAACCAGAGCAGAATCCAACACCAAGCAAGCTCCCACTGTCATGGTGAACATGTATCTTCTCCCAACATGACCTGAAGGGTCACATTCTCAAGGCGCATTTTTGCCCACAGCTCAAACTAGTTTAAAAAATGGCAAGACACAGATCAGAGACCTGTTGGAGGAACTGAAGCCGAGGATAGCAACATTTTCACCACATCAATTCACACCCAATCTGAATAAGACCATATTCTCATGAGGCTGATGACAAAACCTGCTGGGAGTGGGAGAAGTTCTGGCCAGCGATGCCTGGGCTTCATCTCCTCCCTGAGCAGATGCTGGTGAGCAGAAAAAGCACCCACTAACCACCATGTGGGAGCCTCCTGGGTAGCCCAGGGCAAATGCAGGAAGGCCCAGTTGGGCTGCAGTGACTGTGCTCCCAGGCCTCTCTGCACCATGCACAGACCCACTGTCCCTGTCTCCCTGCACTGCACTATCTAGCTGACCTGCCTCAACTGGAAGCCTGAACCACCAGAACTTTGTCAGTTCTCAAGGCTCACCCTAATCCACATAATCAGAACTCAGGATGTAGAGGAGGACCCCATATAGATACACCTGTGTCCAGGGCAGAGATGACCACAGTTCAGATTTGGGGAAACTTGGGCCCAATGGGCCCACCAGAGCCCACTCCCACAGCCCTCTTGCCCTGGGAGAAACAATGTGCTGGGGCTCATCGGGGCTAGTCCTGCTTCTTCACCAGACCTCCTGTTCATGCACTTATCAATTTGGGCTGAAGATGCATTACAGTGGCTCTGCATCTGGGTTCCTCCCACTCCCACCAATGACCTGAGTTCCAGGTAAGGGGAAAAGGGCCTCTCAGTATCATTACTACTGCTGCTGTTGTTGCTATGTAGAATCTGGAACAAGAGTGAAGTGTTAAAGGCATGGACCCTTTTTCTCCACATCCTCGCCAGCATCTGTTGTTGTTTGTTTTATTAATGATGGCCATTCTTACAGGGGTTAGGTGGTATCTCAGTGTGGTTTTGATTTGCATTTCTCTAATGACGAGTGAGGCTGAGCACATTTTCATGTGTCTGTTGGCCGCCCGTATATTTTCTTTTAAGAAATGTCTATTCATGTCTTTTGCCCACTTTTTAAAGGGGCTGTTTATTTTTTTCCTTTCGGTATGTTTGAGTTCCTTGTAGATCCTAGATGTTAGGCCTTTGTCAGATATACAGTTGGCAAATATTTTTTCCCATTCTGTGGGCTGTCTCCCTGCTCTCTTGATGATTTCTTTGGCTTTGCAGAAGCTTGTCAGTTTAATGAGATCCCACTTGTCTATCTTATCTCTAATGGCCTTGGGCACTTTGGGTTTTGATCAGGAGTCGGTTGCCATTTCCAACTTCCATAAGAGTGTTTCCTGCATTTTCTTTCTTTCTTTTTTTTGAGTTGGAATCTCACTCAGTTGCCCAGACTGGAGTGCAGTGGCCGCTCCAGGCCACCGCAGCCTCGACCTACTGTGCTCCGGCGATCCTTCCACCTCAGCCTTCCAAGTCTGGAACTACAGGCGCGTGCTACCTGCTGATTTTTTATTTATGTAGAGATGAGGTCCCGCCAAGTTGCCCAGGCGGGTCTCGAACCTGTGGGCTCAGGCAATCCACTCACCTCAGCCTTCCAAAGTGCTGGGATTACAGGCTGAGCCACCAAACCCGGCTGTTTCCTGCATTTTCTAAGGTTCTTGCACTACTACACTGCTGGTGGGAATGCAGACTAATACAACCTCTTTGGAAGACAGTGTGGCAATTTCTGAAGGGACTAGAAATTGACCTTCCATATGACCCAGCAATTCCCCCATTGGGAATATACCCGGAGGAACTCAAGTCATTCTACAAAAAAGATACCTGCACACGTTATGTTTGCTGAGGCTCTATTCACAATAGCAAAAACATGGAACCAACCATGTTGCCCATCGAAGCCAGACTGGATTAAAAAATGTGATACATATACACAATGGAATATTATGCAGCCATAAAGAAGGACAAATATATGGACTTTGCAGCAAATTGGATAGATTTGGAGTCAATCATACTCAGTGATTTATCACAAAAACAAAGAAATAAGTTCCATATATTCTTACTCATAAGGTGACCTGGAACAATTATAATGCTATAAGAAAGTAATTGGCAGTAGTGGAAAACTGTCAGGGGAAGGGGGGGTGGGACTGGCAGTTGGGAAAACTGCTAAGGGAAGGAGGGGCATGCCTAATCAACAAGGGTACCTGCATGATCAATGTTTGTATACCTAACCCTGAATTGTACCCTACATCTTTATAATAAGTAAATAAATTTTAAAAATAAATAAATAAAAATAAAGGCATGGACCTGGAGTCAAACCACTGGGCTCAAGACTCAGGGGCACCACTTCCTGGATGTGACACCCAGTAAGGTACTTCACTCTTCTTAGCACTGGTTTTCTCAATCATAAAACAGGTTCAACACCAGAATCTACCATTCTTGGAAGGTAAGAATTAGGTTAAAAAGACAACACATATAAATACAGACACAATAAGCAGAAAACATCCATTAGGTATCACCATCAGTGGGTCCACCTTCTCCCAGTGGGGGACACATACAGAACCCCACCTGTATTGAGAGGACAATAATAGATTTAGGTTAAGAGCATGCTATTGAGAGACCCAAGAAACTTAAAAAGCCATACTTGCTGTAAAAGTAGTGTTTAGTTCACTATATTTCAT